GTGTGTGTGTGTGTGTGTGTGTGTGTGTGTGTGTGGTGTGGTGTGTGTGCATATACACACGAAACAGTTCAGAAAGACTAATATATTTATATTCGATAATACAATTTTACATTTTGAATAAAATCTCGTTTTATGTTATTAATTTATTTACAAACCTATCTATTTCTTATTGAAATAGTTTATGATCCAGTTTCTAAATTATTGTCACTTATTTTATATTACTTTCAAATGTAATATATAGAAAAATCTGTCTTTCTTTCCATAATTTTTTCATTTTATCAAAAAATTGTTGTAATCCTTCATTCTATTTCATTTTCCTTTATTTTGTTTAACGATAAAAAATAAAAATTACTACTAAAAGAAATGTCAATTTTTCAATAATAATTTTTACATCTTGTTTTTAGGATTTAAATGTGATATAGATAATAGATGTCTTGTATTTTATTAGTAATACAATTATTCAAATATAATATGAAATTATAATGGTAACTAGAAAATTTGCTAACGCTTTGTACAAAATGGTATAAATCTTATTATCTAAGAACCTGTCATAGTTCGGAGCATGTTTAGATATATCATGGAGGTTCTCATTACCTAAAACATTTTGGAAATGTATTTGGCTGCAAAAACATAATATACTTTCATTAACATACACTCACATCACCAAAAGTTGCGATGGAAAGATGGAATAGTTTCCCTGCAGTTAATTTGATTACACTACTCGATCGGGAGATAATTAAGACCAGACCTCGAGCCGTTTTATGTGGCAAACGATACCAATTAGTCATGTAAGCTATTTCTCCTATTTGTTTACACTATTAAATTATTTTATAATGTGGAAAAGTTGTGATAATATATTTACCACTTTTTTATTTATAAAACTCGAAAAGTATATACAATTATATGTATATACAGGATAAGTCAAAAGTCCCGGATCGATGAAATATTTCGAAAACTAAGCATTTCCGAAAGAAATTTCTTTTCTTTTCTACAAAAGTTTTCTACAAAAGTTTTCTATAAAAGTTGTTGTACGGTTTTAAATGATCTATATACTGATTTTATTAGTTTGACTTTAGATAGAGTTGCCAAGATTAGGTCAAAATCACATTAATTTAAAAAAAAAAACACGCTATTTTTGTGCGTATGTGATTTCAGAATCTAATAACTGATGTTGAGAGCTTTCCAAAACTATAATAAAATTATTTTTTATTGAGTACTTTTCCAGTTACAAGGTTTAAAAGTTATAGTACCGCCGGCATTAGCATTACGCAAGGCCGACCGACGACTAAAACCTTTTGAATATTGTTCAGAATCATGTCCTGGATAATATTTGTTAAGATGAAGGCCATTGGAGATTACTCCTCTTACTTTCATTTTTGCATTAAAAATTCATTTTTATGTAAAAATAAAAATAAGTAGTACAGTCGGTCGGACATCTAATGCAGGCGGTACTATAACCTTCGAGCCTTACAAATCGAAAAGTATTTTATGAAAAATAACTTTATTGTAGTGTTTTGAAAAGCTTTTGACCAGCTATTAAATTCTGAAATCAAAAATAGGGTGTGCCATTAAAAAAAAATCGATGTGATCTTGATTTGATTTCGTCGACGCCACTCAATGTCAGACTGACCAGATCAGTGAATAGATGACATTATGTAATTACTTAAAACTTTACTTTTCTAGGAAACATTTCTTTCAGAAATGTTTAGTCTTCGAATATTGTACCGGTGCGGGACTTCTTACTTGTTCTATATATTTGTATATTATACCATAAAATTTTTATTTTATAATTTATTTTTTACCTGTTCTCTTACTGTTTCGCCAATATAACAGAATATAAAAATGTTGAAAGTCATGGATATATATATAATAATTATACAGGCTATTGTCATTTTTGTCTCTATTGTATTCCATCCCTGAAAGTTTATCATAATGTATTATGACAATTTAT